CTTTCCAACAAAAAAAAATCATGAGAATCGGTTCACAAATACCGGAGTTATCGCGTAACGTACATACAAAAAAAAAAGAAAAAAAAGAAAGAACATACAGTCGAATTCAGAACCGCCTCCTTTTTTGAAGTCGGTTAATAAAATGAGTTAATACACCTCTAAATTTGAAATTTATTTATTTATTTGTTTGCAAATTTTACAGCTTTTCATTTTGGTTTACAATTCTGAATAATGTACTTACATAGCCAATTACAAGTTTGTCAGATTAAAATTTATATTTTTACGTTATATAAAAACTTATTCGATGCCAGAACGAAGCGACTTAAAATATTGTTTATCGAAGAACAATGTAACAAATTGAAATATTTATTGATAACATATTATAACTGAATTCCGTTGTGTTAATAGATTTAGACATTAATTTTTAATTACTATATTTTTGAATGAAGCTACTTACTATATAATAAACAAGTGGACTATAGTAGAGTATGCGCATTTGTGTGTCAACATATGTGAAGGTGTATGTGTATATGTGTGTATGTCTATGTAAATATCTGACAAATTTCTGCAAGTTTTCTTTTTTTTGATAGTGTTTTAGTTTTTTTCATTTTTCTGGGGAAACCAAACGACAACGTTTAAATAATTCATTTCGTTGTCGTTTTCAATTAAAATACAAATTGATAGAAGCCATGCAAAAAATGTCAACCTATTAGCATATTAAAATAGACTAGGTTCAATGTAAACATTGAAGAAAAGGAAGTGAAAATATGTTCCACAATTTACTTTAGTACAATTTAACAAGTATTATTTCTCAATTTAAAAGCTGTAATTTGCCAAGAGTCCAGCCCCATGCATATGGACAAATTCATATGTTAAAGGTGATAATTTACCTTTAATGCAATGTTTCATATGCTTAGGAGGTAGTTTTTTAGAGAATCGTTTTCCCTTGTCACTCTGATATTAAGTTTTTCGCCGAACAATATCACCAACATTAAAATCATACTATTTTACGACGAAGATTAGTAGGACCACAATTCAATTTCTATCATGCGACTTTATTAAAGAACTTTGTACATGATCGAAATTTTCTGCATTTCTGTTTTCGGTATTTTCCTCATATTGCAACAAATCTTCGGATTGGTCGATATCAAAATTGTGGGAACCACAAGCTACCAATTCTCTCCAGACGTTATGTTACTAACAGCAATATTGAGAGCAAATTGATTTTTTGGGATATTCAGATCCCAAAATCTGTGACTGTGATCCTCTTCTATGAACGTGGAGACAGCTGCCATGATGGTTTTGTTATAGCGCTCAACAGAGTTTACCTATGGAGTATATTTGTGCGTAAAATATACATACATTAGGGCTTTTGTATCTCTAATATTTGGAAAAAATTGTGTCTTAGATATTCCACTAATTCCCATATTCTTACGAATTGTAAACAACCACACGAAATAGTATGCTTTAAATAAGGAAAGAAAAGCATTCGGACTCCAGAGAGTCCAGTTTGTGATAAAAAAAATCAAACCATAAAAGTAAATAATTTGGATTGGAGAACCGGTAACACTCTTTGCACCAGATTTTCGGAACGTTGCAAAGAATCAGACTGGAACGAATTACTTCATTTTATAAGAAACTTCTCAACTAGACATTCAGGGTCTTAAATCTTGGGAATTGATTCATATTTGAAGTTTGAGTGAAAACCGCTACAATGTCAATCGTTTATTAATGGAATATTTACATAACTGGATTCGAATTATTTAGAAAGATAGTGTCACTTTGCGTGATTATAATTTCATAAACCATATCGCAAAGGGGCTCTTTTTAGTTTTACTCGCTACTGATTCATTATAGTTTTGTACACATAACTATAATGATTCTGTCGATTTTCTGCATCATCGCCATTTCATTATAACCAAAACTTCTTGAATTTGTTTCTGGACATATATTTTTTTTGTCTTTGTCACCCTGACCTGTGATTATAAGTGCCTAAAAACCATAATGCTTATTGTATATAATATAAAACGACGAAGCTAGGAACATAATGAAAATAATATAATTATTGAAAACGCATAATAAATACATACACTTGGTAAATTCTCAAAGGCAGACTGCTGCGCAAATACCCAGACCGAACCAGACCGACCTCATACTGTCCTAATTAAAAAAACACTTTGTAGGGGTATACTGTCCCCTTACTCCCCTTATTTTTGAAATCAAGAGTTTCAAGTGCAAGTTGGAAAATTAAGCAAGGCTCAAATTGTCTGTTTCAATCCGGGCATGTTCCATTACGAGGGAGCAGAGGAAAATTTACTAATCTTCGATTTGATTTTAGAGCGGTTAATCCGCTTTAAAGTTAAAAATAAAATATTGTCTGAATAACTACATAACATATTCAAGCATAGACATTAATCAGAAACATAAAATAATAAAGTTTCCTCGATAGATAAAAATCTCGAAATGACCTCTAATTTTCCTCGAAATGCTACAGGTTATTAGGACAAAAATTAGATAATTAATGATATTTATACATACATGATCGACTATTGTCGTTACGGTTTTTTTAAATCCCTTTAGTTTTAGAGTTATTCCGCTAAAACGAATTTAGCACTTACGACATTTTAATGGGCAAAAGACAACATGTCCTGTCGCATGTCACAGGAACTTCAAGCATATAAATGTTTCACAAATTAGTCACTATCACTCCGTTGAGAACAGAGGTCGTTGACAGAATTTGCGGCTGAGCTGTTTAATCGTCATCGTATATTATAAATATTGATGGCTAATTGTCGAAGGTAAGTTTGTGAATTACCTACCTATGTTGAACGGTTTGTGAATTACCTACCTATGTTGAAGGAATGCTTTATTTCCGATATATTCTGGAAACTGAATTTCTAGAATCTTTCCACAAAATTTATGAAAATTTAAGATATTAAATAAAATTTAAGATATAAAACTTTGCGACGTCATAACTTATTTATGAGTTAGGTATTTGAAAAAACCGAACATGTATTTTTATTTCCATTATGCAGTATGCTCCTTTAAAATGGTCAGTGTTTCTTTATCATCCTGTATAAACATAATACAATACTTACTGTACTGGAATCGGTTGTAAATCTATTAGTTCTATTGGCGACTCCACAGTTTTTTTCTGTTCCACACAAAATTTGTGTCTGTAATGAAATTTCATAAAGTACTGTACCTATTACACTCGTATTTATTTGGCAAATAGAATAAACACGAAAATAAACAAATTGCTCTAATCTTCTTCTTGTCGAGTCAAAGACACAAACCAATACAATAATTGTGTTATCAATGTGTTAAATTTCTTTAAATTTAAAATTTTATTTATTTAATTTAAATTTATTTTGCTCTAATGTAAAATACCTGCCATTAAGTATGTGTAATTGTTTTGTTCAAATATCAAAATCAGTTCTCGTAATAAAAAAAACAACGATATCAACTATTTATTCTCTGTCTGTACTAAGTCCTTTCTGGATTTTGTGTGTGTTTTGCAGAGGTAACCTAACAATCAATTAGATCAAAATCATAGTGTCATTTTTACAAATATTATATATTTATAATATGTAATGTAAAACATGTAAATGGTATCGTCATATCAATCGAATAGCGCGCGAAAGCGGGAATAAACCAATTTAAATGTTATTCTGCACGACCTTCACTTTTATACCGGTGAATTTTTAAACCTATTACTGATGAAATCAAAATTCGTAAGTTCTAATTGCGCTTATGCACACGAAAATAATATTTTTTATTTTACCTTTCAACACAGGTAAGTAATTCACAAACTTACCTTCGACAATTACCCATCAATATTGATAATTTACGATGACGATTAAACAGCTCACCCGCAAATTTTGTTAGCGTCCTCTCGTCTCAACGGAGCGATAGTGACTAACTAATTTGTGAAACAAATATATGCTTGAAGTTCCCGTGACATGCGACAGGAGATGTTATCTTTTGCGCATTAAAAATGTCGTAAATGCCAAATTTCAAAAAATCGTTTTAGCGGAATAACTCTACAACTAATAATCCCTTAAAAAAAATCCGTAACCACAGTAGTCGATCATGCATAAATATAATTAATTATCTAATTTTTGTCCTAATAATAGCATTTCGAGAATAAATCGAAAAAATGTGTAAGTTAGATGTGTTTTCGTCACTTTTATTTATCGAGGAAACTTTATTGTTTTATGTTTCTGATTAACGTCTGTGCTTGAATATATTGTGTAGTTAGTTACTTTTACAATATTTTATTTTTAACTTTAAAGTGGATTTATCCCTCTAAAATCAAATCGAAGATTAGGAATTCTTCCTCTGCTCCCTCTTAAGTAGCGATGCAAACGCGCGACTGCATCGATACAAACGCGCGATTTCGTCGCTACACTTGAGATTTATAAGCGATTGCATTCGATGCAATCGCACATTTGCGTCACTGCCAAAAGTCACCCTGTGTAAGCACTCTTACGTAGTTCGATTACTAATTTCATGTTCTATGTTATTAATAATAATAGTTAGCCTATAATTATTCCGACTGCTGGACACAGGCCTCCTCTTACAATGGAAGGGCTTGGGCTGTAGTTTTTTTATTTATTTTTTATTTATTCAATTTCAAGAACTAGTTATACAAAAAGCGACCCTTCTTTATTGCTAGGAAAAAACTTAGTTCCCACGCGAAGTTAATGCGAATTAGGAACTTCACATACAATCTTAAATGCTTTGCATGTGTGTGCAAGTTTCCTCACGATGTTTTCGTTCAAAACCATGATAAATTTCAAATTAAATTTTGCTCATAAATTCCGAAACACTGAGAGGTTCAAGCTCGTATTTAAACCACACCCTCTGCTGTAGAGACAGATGTTCGTTATTGTGATGTGAATAAATATTTTTCTTCAAAATTTGTTTGTGCGTTGCTAATGATAGACATTTGATATTAGATTACCGTTGCTAAATATATCCATTTGTTTTTGTTCCAGATTATTGACATCAGGGATATATTAAGAGCCGACACGATTGACCAAATGAAAGACGTATACATCGTACAGTGCTTAATGGAAACGGACCTTTATAAATTGTTAAAAACGCAGGTATGTTACACTCTCAATTAAATCTTGTTAACGAAGAATTATATTTTTTACCCGACTTCAAAAAAAGGAGATTCTCAATTCGACTGTATGTTTTTTTTGTATGTATGTTACATGATAACACCGATAATTGTGAACTGATTTTGATGATTCTTTTTTTGTTGGAAAGACGGTACCTCCATAGTGGTCCCATTTAATCTTAGGTGGCTGATTTCTTCAAAAATAAGGTGTTCACGCAAGAAGATTAATTTTTATAAATTTATTATAAGGAGCAATTATTTTAATGGTTGATTTTGCTATTCTCCAATTCAAGGCGTTTTTCTCTCTCAATATACTTTGAGTAGTGAGACCCGATTTTTATTGCCTCCTGTGTAATGTAAATGATGTCAAGTTCCGTGTAGTGGCAAACTAGGGGATGAATCCAGATTTGCGCACTTTCCGGTAACCGATTTCAATAACATTTGGCAAATAGATGTAATTCTACGTACTTTTGAGGTCGGTTTTTTAGTACTCCGTACTGAGATCATTGTTCATATCGAGTTCTTAAGCTTTTGCAATTGTTACGCGATTGAAAATAAAATATTTTGAAAACGTATGTACCGTAAATTGGAATAATTAATAGATTCAGGCGTTACTTTGTGGGATGTTAATATTTCGCATCCTTCGTGGAAGAATCGCATAAGAGAAGTTAACATTAAAAATGTTTATTACTCCATTAGATACAGAAGAATATAACCCACCTCCTCTCCAATTCTTGTAACTCTATCGGCTAATATTATCGATGAATTGGAGAGGATATGGGTTATATTTTTCTGTATCCAAAGGAGCAAGAAACATTTTTGACGTAACTTCAATTAAGCCATTATTTTTGCGAGTATGAGCACGATAATTGGCGAAAGTTTTGTCGCAATCGAATGAATAATAATGGATTGCTTACGATACAAAGAAATATATACGTAAATTAATTATTAAAGAAATTTTATATCGATTGTTTTTGTTCCAGAAATTAAGTAACGATCACATCTGCTACTTCCTGTACCAAATTCTGCGAGGGCTGAAGTACATCCACTCGGCGAATGTCCTACACAGGGATCTAAAGCCGTCTAACTTACTACTTAACACTACTTGTGATTTAAAGGTAAGAAATTCTATGAAAATAAATTTAGGCGTTGTTTATTAAAGACGTATTCTTGGCCAAAGCTCAATTCGCATATTGCGTTATAAAATTACATCTACCATTTTATTATGATAGTTTTGTAAAAAAAATAAGACGACATCATACGACAGGTAGAGAATGACATGTACGCTAAATGAAACTATAGTGGGCGTTTGTCCAATACTCTTATAGTGGTAGTCTTAAAAAAGGACAGTACCTGTATTCCTAAAAGCAGCGATCCCAAAATTAATATTGAATCGTACCAACAAAGGCTCAATTTTAATTGTACAACTTTATAAAAGGCCTCCATTGAAAGTTACGACACGAGAGCTCAAATCAATTGGAAATCAATTTATTCCATGCATAAAAGACAAATTTGAATTTGATTATAACAAATTGAGGTGGTCTTCATTGCAATGCTTACCAAGGGCTTCAATTGAATGTATGACGTACTCCTACTTCTTTGGCTCAGCGCACCAAAATCGTGGCCTCTGAAACGATATATAAATAAATTTTGTATGTCCAAAAGTAAACATTTGTTATGGTAAAAGAATAAATGACATTTGTTGCTAATTATATTAAGCATAGAAGGATGGCGACATCCCGTGTATTTGAGACCCAGTGTTTTTTACGACGTACATTAAAGAGACCTATAATACTTGTGATTCATTATCAAAGCATCCAAAAAGCTTATTAAGTACAGCACAGGCTGTACTTAATAAGTTGTACAATTAAAATTTTATATCCCCAGCTTCTACAGAGAAGCTGGGGATATAAAATTGGTATAGGTTATGTTTATTACATTGTCCTATATATCGCTTCAGATGATTGTTTAGGGTAGCGGAAAACAACAAGTTTTCAGTTTATTCCCAAAAATAATAAAGAACTTGTTGAATATTCCAAAAATCTGCCAAACTCTGCCATATTTAAAACAACGTTAACATGTTCTGCCGCATTGAAAAATGAATAAAAATTAAATCTGCCACAAATGGTCACACAGTTCTCAATCTCAACGTGACGTTGACATTGGCAAGAGGCCTCTTGTCAAAATGTTCCTTTGCTAACTTTCTTATATCGAGTATATAACCAGAAATAGAGACGAAATAAGGGCCATATATTCCTGGTAACACATTAGCGATACAGCTCTTATAAATATCAACTCTCGTTTGCACTGAAATATAGACAGGCCAACTACTGACTTGTGTGTACGTCTCCGTATATTCCAAAAAATATTCTGTATTTATTATAATAAAGATAATATCTCTAACAATGCCGTGCTGTTCTATTCGGTGGTGCGAGAAAAACAGCAAAACATCTAATTACAAAACAAACGGAATCACATTTCATCGATAATTAAATATTAAATATGTAATTTTGCAATGTTTGTCCATTATAGCAAAGCTCAAGTTAACTGGTCGATTTGAAGTGAAACAATTGACGACACCCGTCAATTGTTTCGAACTCGGGCTAGCCAATCGGAGCGCAGTTGTCGCATTAATGATACGGCAGAATAGTTATCAAACAAATTAAATGACATTTCGTCTCTATTTCTGGTTATATACTCGATGCTTTCTTATCTCTAATTTAAATATTGCCTATACATTTTCGTCATATTATGTTTTATTTTTTACTTTATGTCATTAATGTTTAATTGATATTTGATTAGATATTTTATAGCTTTAATGCTTTATGTGTGTACTATAAAATAACCAATACTTTAGATAGGTAAACTTTGAATGATGCTTAAATTGGAACGTACATACAAGAACGTTACCTAATCTACGGTGGAATTGAATCAATTGCGTTACATTTTTGCATTTATTCTAAAATAAACTGTTTTACAATTTCTTTATTCCCGTCTTTTAAAAATATACAAAAGTATATTGATAAATAGGCATAAAACGTAAATTATACTATAAAAGTCCATGAACGGCTCTTCGTATATTTTGTAACTATTGGGTCAGCTTTCGCCATCCTTTATTTTTATTTTTTGAGAAGCACAAAATTTTTATGTAAATTCACTTTAAAGAAAAATTTAAATAACACACTCATAGCTTCCCAATAGGGAATCCCTGTATCGCGAATGCCAAGGACACACAAATAGACAACCACAAATTACACCCAAATATTTCTCTCGGCAATCCAACTCTACGTGGCGGTCCAGGGTGGTAACCATTCGACCACGGGGGCAGTTAAAATTGATACTTCTTGTAAGCATGTAGATATACTAAAGTTTTGTGATTGTGAATGTAACCTCGCCAACAAACTAGTTTCGCAGTTCGGATCGAGAAATTGTATTAAGTTTCTTGTATAAAATAAAGAACAAAATAAAATAAATATAACGACACTATTTTCGGTCTTATGTGGAGTTTTTTTATTATATTAAGTGACGGGACATACAAGGCGGTCTACTTTCGGTCCCCGTCCGACATCCGTCCGAAACAATTACTGCCAAATAAGCAATACTTGACCAAATGAAAAGACGCGTGATGCGAATGAAGCTTCATACTGGATACTTGTCTTTTAATTTTGTCGAATATTACTTATTTGACAGTAATTGTTTCGGACGGATGTCGGACGGAGATTGAGAGTAGCCCCCAAGATGTGCGCCCGGTAGCAAGCGACCACGCCTGCACATAACAGTTGCATTACCACTCACTTGTTTTAATCGCAAAGATGTGTGGGGCACTGCCCACTGTATTACGATAACTGCCACTGCGCCCGTCTTTCTGAGACCTAAGCTGAAAGTCCCTGTGCCTGTAGTTTCCCCAACACCTACCTTCAAAACCGGTACGCAGTTAATGCTCACATTACTGCTTGGTAGCAGAAGTAGGTAAGGCGGCAGTACTTCCCTGAACAAACTCTTACTGCTGAGTTTGCGCTGAGTTACTCAGCAGTAAGAGTTTGCGCGAGTCCTATTCCACGTGTGGTTTTTATCCCACTTAAGAGTCACGGTCTTGTCGGTGTAGCCTCTTCCACTCCTCGCGGTTCATTGCCAGCTTTTTGACCTCTTTATGCTGCTCACTTTAATGTTCTTGTTTATTTGTTCACTGTGCGCCATTCTTGATCTTCCTCTTTCTAGGTAAAGGTAAACCTTTTATTTTCCCTTCTCACAAATTCGTTATTACGTAACAAATGTTCAAGCATTTTCCCCTTTCTGTTCTCTATCGTATTTAAAAGATTTCTGTCTTCCCTTATACTTTTTTTGTTTCATATGGCGTTGTTGGCAATTATTGTGATTCCGTACGTTACAGACAAAAAATGGATTTGTTAATAACAATTATGACATGGTTCTAAGAGCCGTTACACACGGCGACTTCTAGTAGCGATACAAAAATTGATTAAATTATATCGTAAATATAACACGCAAGTACAAAAGTTAATTTATATTAACATATATTGCATCAATGCAAACGCGTGGGTGCATCGATGGAGTCGCTTATGTTGAATAATTAGTTGATACTATGTACCTCACCTCGAATTTTAACTTTTCCTATACTAGTATTTTGCTTGGGTCAAGCGGTAAGGACACTGCCTTTATTTCAGAATTTATTTTTTTACAAACGAAATTAACGCCATTTGAAAAATGTATACCGCATACTATACGTGATCTATTTAATTCAGTTGATTTAAAAAAATCATTGGCACATGTGAAGTACCTATTGAATACAGCAGTTTTCTTGTAAAAATCGAGGTAAGTTTGTGTATATCTATCGTGTAAATTTTTAGGAAGCGTGTTTTCACACCGTATTGTATATCCTCAATATTACTATATATTTTTTCCAAAATGATTGATTGAACTCTTTCACTGTCAACCAAAGCCATTTGAGGTTGTATCGGTTCATAGAGGTAGACGATTAGCGACTGTATCGCTGTAGACGCGCTGCTAAAAATCGCCGCGTGGAAACGCTGAAATTCCTAAATCCTTTTAAAGTATCAATTAAAGGCCTAGAACCGTGTAACATGTTGTAACAAATGAAGTTGAAGTTTTTGGGGACGGCTTCTCCATATCCCTTCAAACTATCAAGTTTCCATTGTTTGGACACAAATTGTGGATTATCTTACATGTTTTAAATTGTTTATACTTTCAATGTTTCTTCGTTTCCAGTGTGAATTTGCATAGACGTGTTTGTTTTGTTAAAGTCTAGACTGAAGGTAAACAACCTGAATAATGAATGAAAATACTTTCTTAACATTATTCTTTAAAGAATTTGATGAAAGTGTTTTGTTATCTGTAGCAAACTTTTACTTAAGGACTTGTTTTAAGTTTGAGAAAAGAAAACATAGTTTCGCTTTTAAACTTGTAAAGTAGGACCATTATTTACCACTTTTGAAAAGGGAATAGGGTATTTTGTTGAATGTTTTTGAAAGCTACATAAAGGTAACAAAGTAACGCTGACACGAGGTTTTTAATGAAAATGTTTAACTACAATATATGAGATTGTTGGCAATAGGTTTAGGACGAAGTCGTGAATCGACGAACTTACATTACTTGCCGATCTTTTCGTCAAAAATAGCCAAATTGCATTTCCTTTTGAAAGTACAACGCGACTTGAGATTCTTATTGGAGGAGAAAAGTCGTTTCAATACTCTTGAGGCAACCAGTTTGAATTTATCGTGGTTAGGTTTTAATAGAGAAGGCGGAGTTGTTTATAAAGAAAGATACTGTACTATACTGACAACACTTTGCCTTGAACCTTGTCGTTTCATTTTAATTTTTGACTTCTTAAAAATGTGGTGATATCAGATTTTGAAATATTTCTAACGATCAGAATGGTTTTTCATTTTGTCCTTTTATAATTTTTCGGTACAAAATGCCCATAGTCGTTTAATACTACAGTCTTAAACTTGCATGGTTAATTTTTTGATTCGTTTTCTCTATCTATTTCTGTTGACAATTTTTATTATTTAAGTATCCGAGGATTAAAGCCTTGCACACGGCGTATTTTATACGCACCGTAAACGTGCGTAATCAGTGTCTA